CTGTTGTGGCCTCTCCCGTTGCGGAGCACAGGCTCCGGACGCGCAGGCTCAGCGGCCATGGCTCACGGGCCCAGCCGCCCCGCGGCACGTGGGATCTTCCCGGACCGGGGCACGAACCCGTGTCCCCTGCATCTGCAGGCGGACTCTCAACCACTGCGCCACCAGGGAAGCCCCCTCCTGGGTATAATTTAATACCTTCCTTCTAAATCCACAGAGTTAGTTAATTCTTCATCAAACTCAGTTTTAAGCCGATGAGTGAGTAAAATGTTGTTTGAAGCATTTTCTCTACAGTTGTTCAAAAGGAGCAGGGAGACCTTTAAGCCAGTTTGTCATCAGAAGTTCCTGCTCCTGTAATTCTAACCACCTGCTCACTCCAAATCACAGCACAAGTATTAGCCAACCTGCCTAAAGCCTCATCTGCTAAGATTTCCTGCTAATAGTTGTTTTTGTTTTTGTTTTACATGTTTCCTTATTGACTCCTTGTTTTAGTTTTCATGAAGAAAACACTTCCAGGGGAAAAGCGCATCAGGAAAGAAGTAGGTTAGCATGGGTCTAGTCCAAACCAAACCCTACGGCTTGTTTGCTTTAAGTCTTATCAAGTTTCTCAGTGACTTTACTAATTTAATTCAGAGTAGACCCCCGCCCCTTTCTAATCAATACTTTATCTAGATCTAGAGTGAAATTAGATTTGCAGTCAGTCATTTCCTTTGCAATCGTCAGATACATCTGCATTCTGATACAGACTGCCTTCTGAAAGAGCATGTAGTTATAGGACCTCAGCTTGTACTAGAAACTTTTATAAAAGGGCTTGTATCGTTTCAGCCATTAAAGTAGAACTTAAGGATTTTAAACAATATTTTAAAACATTTTATTGCGTAATCTTTAGCACCAGTCTTCAATAAATGCTTTACACACAGCAGATATTCAAGTCCTGGTTATTGATAGATTGAAAGCAGTATACAAAAAAAGTACTTGTCTGTAGCTTACAAATTTGTATTTAACTTTTCTGTCCTTTAATTTTTAACCTATTTTGAATAGAATTCTACCATGTACATAAAAAGCATTTAAGTCTTACTGAGGGGTAATATGTTTTTGTTTTGGCATGCCTCTGATATCATAAGAATGTATTTCAAAATGTATTCTATCTATATGTAAATATTTTGGAATGTTTTACTTAGAGTTATTTCATACGGTGGGAAATTTCCTGAATTCTTTTACTTACAATCAAGTTTTGTCTCTACCTCCTTCTTTCCGGACCTTAAAATCTGCTAGTATATACCTTTCTATGTTTTTCAGCCCTGGTTCAAATTCAGATTCTTACTGCCCTATCCAAAAGGGCATAATCCACACTGATGGATATAGGGACTAGACTAGCCTCATTTTATGGAAATATGGGAAAGCCCTGTTTCCAGGAAGGCCCCATATAGTGATGTTGTCTTTCTCAAATCCTGTGCAACATGACCATGGTTGTTCTCTGTCTCATGACCGGATGGAATATGTTTGCAAACAGTTTTGAACCAGGGCCCAGGAAACCCCTCATTCAGGTCATAGACGCTGACTGTACAATCATATGGCAGCTGAGAGGGATCCCAAGGCCAATCTCACCTGCAGTGGGACTCAGAGAAACAGTGAAGGGTATGAATCCTCTGCAGGCTCTGGGAGAAGCATTTTGTAGTTTTCAGGTAACATCTAAAATATCCATGTGGTTTGATCCTGTATCCTTACCTGTTTAACAGAGAACGGAGGTGTCTGCCTCCCAAGGTACATGTTGAGAAAATGAGACTGCCCTCCAGTGTGTGGAGAGGGTAGCAAACCCAGAGAATCTGCCCCAGAGTGGGTGGGTGTGTTGTCCTGTTTGGGGAGTGGGGGGCGAGGGGGTACCCTTGTGTGGGGCTGAGGGAAGGAAGTGTATGTGGTGAAGACGACTTTATTATGTCTGCCCCTTTAATTCAAATTCTAAAATCAAACACAAGTTCCTTGGTATGAGCCTGTATGCTTTAGTGAGTGCAGAAATGCTTTTGGTCCTTTTTTTCAGCAATGCTTTTAGGATTCAGTGTGTAGGTTCTTGATAACATGGATTGAGTGCTGATAAAAGTTGGTTTGAGGACTGATAAAAGTGTTATCTAATTCTCCAAACATATAGCTAACCAAAATGTGTGCAGTGGTTTTGAAACCCCTCAAATCCCAGCAGCAAAACGTTCAAAAGCCAGGACTGCACCAGGTAACCTGCCTGCTTACTGACTTGGATTTAAACAAGTTTGAGCATCTCAAAAACCCACTTTGCCTTTAAAAAAGGCTTACCAGGGTTTTCATTGTACTGGTGTATAGCATTTCAGCTTTATGTAACAGATGAACCTGAGCTTTGTGAAAATTAAATTTTATAAATCTAATCACATTTTTAAAATGTTTTTTAAAAGTTTTTTTTAAGGGATCGCTACAGTATTTTTCTGAAGTCATAAACCCTTTGTATTGATTTATCAGCACACTAATATGTGTAAACATGTATGTCTGTACACACACATATACACGTGTTTATGCACACATACATATTTTAGGTGGAGGGAGTTACCAGTGAATGTGTATATTTTCTTTTTAAATGGGGTACAAACATGCTAATCTAGATAGCATTGATGCTATCTGCATACATATGCCTGGGTAGAAACACCCAGATTTTTCAGATAATTCATTGTGCATTGATTTGATGTGTCGCCAGTTAGATTTTCATCATGAAACTGAGATGTCAAGATTATTCACAGCCTGTGACACGTTAGGCCTGAGTGAGCACCACATAACCAACTTGAGTTGTCTCACGTTGGTGCATCTGATGTATGTGGCAATATGAACAAGTGGTAAGACTTGAAGGAGTGTGTTCTAAATGCTTACATTGATCAAAACAGCACAAAAACATTCATCTTTAGTCATTCACTTATCAGCATAACCTGGAAATGGTTCGCTTTCATACCTCATGAAAGACTAGGGCAGGATTAGAAAAAAAATTTTCTCATCAAGTTCACAAAAATGAAGAGAAAGAAAGGATGTTGGTTGGATTTTATGAGTGAACAGCTTTATTCTGCTTTAAAACTTTCATATTTTAAATATTTCAGTGCAACACAGCATTTTCTATGTTGTCAACTTTTTCTTTTGTGAGTTAAAATGTATCCATCTCTCACTATTTTGCATTACTTGTGAATACTGAACTACAATAAAAATATTCTTTATTGTGTTTGGGTCTCAGTGTTTGGCAGGGGCCTGGAAGGGGTGATTGTGGAAGAGGGGAGGGAATTTGGTGGTGGCTGTACAAGAAATCATTTTAAAGAGCTTTGTTTAAGATTCTAATAAAAACTTTTATTTTAGAAGTACCTCACTATAGACCCGAAGTCTAACGGGAGCTTTACTGAAATTTTAAACCATTAAATTATAATGGTTTAATAAACCATTAATTTATAAAATGAAAATAAGTACTTTTCTGTATAAAGCCAATTCCGGATTTTCTAAATGAGATTATTATATGTGTATGTTTTTCTTTTTGCTTTACTACTTCGCTAGTCATTAAAATCAACAATTCTTCTTGATTAATTTGAAATCAACTCAAATGGCAAAGCAAAACACATTACATCAGATGCTTCCTACACTTTAAACATAGTTTAGCCAAAGCTGCTTTATTCAACGTTGTAGGAAAAAACCTGTCGAAACACATGTGATCATGTGCCTGGATGGGCCATTGTGATGAGGGCAGAAGAGCATAATGGATGGGGACATCGGCGATGGAGCTGTCAAACTTGGACTTGAATCCCAGCTCTGCTACAAGGAAACGAGGTAGGAAAATTCTGCATCTGTTAAATCCACATCACTGGGCAGATGGGAAGATAAAATGAGATAATATATGTACAGCACTCAACCAGCATATGCCTAGAACATATGTGGTCAAAGCAAGCACTTCACAATTTGGAAACTTTAAAAATGGTAGCAAGTCAAAAAACAGCTTTTCTGCCTAACGGCATTAGATATCACCCTTTATTGTACCACAGAGAAACGACATCTGAGAAAAAAGCATACAATTTTGAAAACCACTTATTTTGTGTGTGAAATGGTTATTAAGAATTCTGTATAAGGTTAGGATTCCAATGAAAAGTGTTTTCACGAACACCTCCAGGGCTCAGTTGTATGTCATATAGCGCGGAGTAGCACTGAATTTGGCATAGGACTTGATGACCTTATTTACAGCTTCCAAGAAATCCTTCTCAGTAGCAATTTTTCGCCGTGCTCGGATGGCAAACATACCAGCTTCTGTGCAGACGCTTCTGATCTCAGCACCTTTCAAACAAAAAGAACAGGCTTAATTAAAGCAGCCCAAATAGACAGACCAGCAAATAGAAGCAAGACCTTTCTACCTACCAGTGCTATTTGGACACAGTCGTGCTAACAATTCAAATCTGATATCTCTTTCAACACTCATTGAACGGGCATGAATCTTAAAAATGTGAGTCCGACCCTAAAAATAGGGGAATTGACAAATATTAAACTGGAAAACAGCACAGGAAGAAAAAATTTCAAGAATCCCTTTTCTACCGTGAAATGATGTTCCCACCTCTAGATCAGGTAAGCTAAACTCAATCTTCCTGTCCAGTCTCCCGGGCCTCATCAGCGCGGGGTCCAGAGTGTCAGGTCTGTTTGTGGCCATCAGAACTTTAATGTTGCCTCGAGGATCAAACCCATCCAGCTGATTGATCAGTTCCAACATGGTCCTCTGCACTTCATTGTCACCCCCAGCACCATCGTCAAAACGAGCCCCTGAGAAGACAGGAGGAAAGACACTCTTCACATCTACTCAGAGCAGCACTCTGCGCAGTAAATCTCAGCTCAGATCACACCCTCCAGCCCAAGGGAACC